AAAATAAGAGCCATGAAATAAAATAAATAAAGTGAAGGGGTTGGAGAAAGAGAAGAAAAAAAATCCCAAAGAGAAAAAGCTAAAAGGAAATGAGCTTCCCTGCTATTAAATAGGTGACAGACGGGTATTATAAATGCATCATGGGTTGGAAGGGAAGAAAGGGCAAGGAGGTAACACATCGTCCCCCTCCAGTCCAGGGAAGGGGCTGGGAACAGGACAGGACCGCGAATGAGCGTAACCGCACGGTGTTTTATTGGCGACGGCCAGCACGGATGCTGCAAGGCCAGGGCTGGCAGGATACCTCCCGACCAGCAATCAGGAAAAGAGAGCAGCCACAGAGCGCCCCAGGGAGGGACCGGTGCCTCAGATCCTCTGGCTGCATTGAAGGGACACAGTCTTGAGTTACATGCTCATATTTTCCAGCCAACTCTACAGGGCTCTTTTAATTCCTTGGGCCGTCACTTCCTTTTGCATGCAAAAGGTTTGCAGCCTCCTGTTTTCCAGCACTCCCATTGCAGCCAGAACAGCAGCAGTACTCACTTTATGGGGAGAAGAGCACAGAGACAGAAGCTAATTGCTTAGCTAATTATCTAATAACTCACCTGAGCCCTCCGTACCCACTCCGCAGCAGTGATGCCACCAACAGCTCATCCAGAGTTACCCTGTCCCATGCAAAGCAGCTCCTCCACCACCTGCTTCGCAGAGGCTTAAGATTAAAGGTTCCTTATACTTTTGGGGTACTGGAGGCTCAAAAGAAGCCCCAAGCATGGCAGATTTGGCAACGCTTCCAGCTTTGCTCAGGAACAGGTTGCCCAAGCAGATAATCACTTGGTAGCCCAAGTGCAAGATGAGGAGACCAAACCAACAGTATCATTGCTACTGATCCATGCTCTGCAAGGACTTGGGGTCCTTCCTATCTAAGTTACCCCAGAAAAGTGTTTTCTGCATGCCCCCCCTATATAAGCTTTTTATACCCAGCAGATGATATCTTTTAATGCCATCATTTTAATGCATCGATTATTGAGTGTATATTCTTCAAGCCACAGTGCCATCCTAGCCCCTGAAGAAAGGGCAAGTACAGCGGAAAGTCAAAAGGAGCTCCCCAAATGATCCTGTTTGGTGTGGCAACAACATTCCTGTGCTGGGTGGCCCATCCCACCCATGTGTGATGCAGTCTCCCAAAGGAGCTAGTGGTGATGACCAGGACCCAGCGCAGCTGGAGACAAGCTCCTCTCCTGTCCCTCCTCCTTGGTTCTGCCCCATACCTGCGTCTGTTGTAGATGCTGGGGAGATGCAATTCAGGATGGCCTGGGTTTGAACAATGGAGTCACCAGGTGGGAAAGGACATTAAGAGGGGTCACCTGCAGCAGATTGCTAGATTTTGACCATCTCCTGGGATGGAGACTCCAAGATCTCTCTGGGCAACATGTTGCAGGGCTTGACTCTCCTAGCAGCAGAAAAGCTTTTTCTTACATTTAATTGGAATCTCCTGCTTGTCAATGTGTGCCTCCTGCCCATGGCACCCACTATCCTCTTGGCCATAACAGGAAGAGAGCAGAGAAGCTCAGCAGAGGTCATCGCTCCAGCCACTAGCTCCCACATTCCAAAAATCCCAGTTCCCAGGACAGGGATGTTACCTTGAAACCCCAAACCAGGAGGTCACAAGCCATTCAAGAAGAGATGAAAAGGATATGAAATAAAGGAAGATTTGGAGAAGGTGTGGAGATTTGGCTCTTTTTATTAGGGAAGTCTATAAAATAGCCACATGGATTATTTTTTTTAAAGATCACAAAATACACAACATTCATCCTAATATATGACACATAATATTATATACATATTAAAAACCATATGACTGAAACACATGTTCACACGGCACCAATTTCATAACGAAAAACCCCACAAGTGCTTTTTTCTTTTTTTTAATATTAAAAAACAACTGTGATAAAACATATTAATATTTTTCCAGACAATGTTTACAATAAAGAGAAAAGAAATCATATTTTACTATAAAACAAATATTTAACAGCAAAACTTTATACTAAATATCTATTTTGAATTATAACAAAAATAGTACTTATAATAGTTTAAGGACAGATCAAAAAAATGTGTATAAAATAATATTATAGCGAATTGGACTGTGCTAAGAAAAAAATATATTTCTGAGATTCAAAGTGCTTTATTCTGCAAACTCACTGCAGCAACTTCTTTTAGTCAAGTTATATTAGTTAGGAATGGTAAAAGGAAAGTATGACTTACTTAGGCCTAGATAAAATACTCACACACACAAACATTATATATACATTGGACGTAAGCATTATATATATAATGGGTGTATGCACCTTAGAGGAGCTCTCCCCCATCAGTCACTCATTCAAAAGCATGTTTGGTTTTTCACTTTGTGATGACGGCAAAAGTCAAAACACACACACAAAAACAGCGTTTTTTGAAGGGCCCCCTTCGCTGATTTCCCACAGGAGTGACTGAGTGATCTCTCCGTGATCTCTCCGACAGGTTTTTGCTATCACAATAGTGGCTGGAGCTCCATGCAGAGCCCGCTGCAAAGGCGCCCATGGGCTTCCTGCTCTCGCCCTTCCTTGCCTGCCCCACCACCACCATCCATCCCCCTTCCCATCTCCCACCTCCCCCTTTCCTCCTTCCCATCTCCGCTGAGCACAACTGGACGCTTCTCAACTCTGGGGCTCTAGTGCTTTCCTTGGCTGTTCCCTGCGGACACTCAGCCACCTCCTGTTCCTGCATTCCCTGGGTGGCTCTAGGGGGAGAAGACCCTGGACACCCTCCCATTCCACCTACCTGTCCCCAAGCGCTTGCCGCAGGAGGTTCAGCCAGTCCTTCTGCAGTTTCCTTGCATCTCTGTGTTTTGGGATTTCCTCTTGATTGGAATTAAGCCTGCTTTCCCAAAGGGAATGTTTTCTTTTCATCAGGGACAAGGAGCACCTGAAACCTCCTGACAGTGCCTGAGCCTGCATCTTCCATCCCAATTTCCAGGACTGCAAATTAGCTGAGCTTCGGCTTCCAGGGACCTGGTCCCAAGGCACCAGGTAGCTCCCGAGACCTCACTCTGGACATTGACATGTTGCTCCCAAACCACAAGGTGAGGTGTGGAGCTGAAGAAGTCTCCTGAGAAGACCAAGAGTTGGGTCTCAAGTCAGTCCAGGTTAACTCAAAGCCTTCTGCTAAAAACAAACAGTGGTGGCAGGAGCAGCAAATCTCAGAGAGTGCCTGTAATCCAACCATGCATTTTGGTACAAGTGGGGGAACATCCCACCAGAGGGTCCTGTATGATTTCAGCTTGGCTCACTGCAATTCAATCTCTAGGGCTTCCCCCTGCTAGAAAACTTCCTCCCTCTTCTCCGGTCCTGAGCAGACGATGGGCTGACATGGCCATCGTTCACTTATCACTTCCTTAGACCTTCCAAAGAGATGCCCACGCATCAAAAGCACGACCTGCAAAGCAATCTGGTAGGAAACATCTCCCTTTCTCCCTTCCTCTCCCAGCCCCTCCAACTCATCTGGACATCATTAGGCAAGATCGAGCCACCCACCCTGGCTCTCCTTTGGTCCTTCTCTGCCTTGGAGATAGGAGAGGTCCAATGGGACCATGCGATGCCACTACACACATTGCTTCTCCAGGATGGAAATGCCTCTCCAGGGCAATCTAGAGAGGAATTTCCCCATCCAGGCATTGGATACAGACACCTGCCCTCACCAGGGAACTCAATCTTGCCTTGACCCCAACCCGCCCAAACTGGGGCATCTCAAGCACCCAGGGACCTTGGAGCTGAACCTGCGTGCACGGCCCCATCCCAATCAAGCACCACCCACCCACTCCGCTCGCACCCTGGAAACATCTTGCATGCAAAAAATGATTAATGCTAATAATCATAATGCCGGGAATAAGCCGACCAGCAAATCCAAGGCAAGGTACCTTGGTGGCCACCACAGGAGTCCCTGCCAATGAAAAACGCCCCGGCACGAGACGGACAAATGAGGCACCCGCCGCCTTAGTTATAGAGATCATCTTTAATGCTCAAATGCCTCCCGGGAGAGGGGGCACATGGAAAATAAAATAAAAAAAAATAATAATAATTAAAATAAAAAAACAGAGAGGGAGCCTGGGCGTGCGGCCAGAGGGGTTTCGAGGTCAGTGCGCGCACCCTGAGGAAGAGCCAGAGCCAGCGGCAGGGGGACAGACACGCAGGAAAACAACCCAGAGCGGCGTTCCCACGTGCTGGAAAAGAGGCCGCCGGAGGCGGCACGGCAGACGGATGGGGACACGCAGGCCATGTAGCAGCAGCAGGTGACTCAACGAGAAAAAAATGATTTGTTTTTTAAAGGGAAAAAAAGACAAAAAAGAAGACCCCTCCATCCCCACCTGCAGGCCCCCAAATTAAAAAATGAAAGTGAAAATCAAAACGCACTTGCCTGGGGACCTCGCTCCTGCTCTTGGAAGCGGTGGCCTGCAGCTCGCTGGCCACGGAAAGACATGGAAAACCCCCCCCAAAAACCCAATTACCAAACAGAGACTTTGGCCGGAGCTGGGGCTCCTGAAGCCTTTCCCGCTGGCGGCACTCCTCCTCACAGCAAAAGGTTTTCATAGATATTTATATATATATTTATAATATTTAGATACTGTGTATGGTCAGCCAGTCCTGGCTCTAGATGGGTTGGGAAATTTTTCTCCCCCTTTTTTTTTTTTTTGAGAATTTTTTTCTTTTTCTTCCTTTTTTTTTTTTTTCAATTTTTCTCCTCTGGACGGGATGAAACACGTGGCACCCCCGATCTTCTCCGGGCCCCCACAAAGAGGGCGAGCGGCATCGGCGCATCTGCTGACGGAGCAAACAGTCTAGACCTGGCCTGCAAAGTGAGTGGTGCAGAGGAGCCCCTCGTGACCCTCCTCCTCTTCCTCTCCGTCCCCTGTGTCCTCCCCATTGCTCCCACCCCACCCCTCTGTCCCCGTCTGCCCTTCCCAGGGCAGCCGGAGTGGCTCTACACCGTCGCCCCTAACATAGCGTCCGTCTCCGTCAGGATCTCGTTCTGGTTGGAATCCAGTCCAAAGAACTTAACCTTGAGCCCGTCAACCGGGTGCACCACAGGCACCAGGGTGATTCTGGGGAAAGTCCTGGTGGCGAGCTCGAAGCGGCTGGTGCTGGCCAGCTCGATGGCCAGTGCCTTGAGAAACAGCTTGGCCAGGTGCTTCCCCAGACAGGTCCGTACTCCTCCTCCAAAGGGGAGGTAATGGAACCTGCCATCCTTGTCTTCGCTGCGGCCCTGCCCAAAGCGCTCAGGGTCGAAGACATCCACATCTTTGAACACAGGCGCCGTGTCGTGGGTGTCCCGGATGCTGTACATGACGCTCCAGCCCTTGGGAATCTGAAAACCCTGCGCAGAAAGGGAAGGGGTGGAGAGAAAACACAAACGGGTCAACTGTGCTGTAGGGAGACTTGGAAGGAGACCGGGAGAAGGAGATAGAGCAAAGGTGAACTCTTTTTCTCCTTTTCTTTGGGGTGACTCCTGGTATATGGCACGGATTTCAGAGAAGAACAGAGAGTTGTTCAGGGCCTGGGTGATGAGGAACAGGGTGAGTTTATCATCCTGTGAGCACTTTAAAAGGTTCCCATATTGAACCATCACATTAATAGGAATTACAGCAACAGACAGGTCTCAAGGTTTGGTTTTGCTCACAGGACATGCCCTCCATGGCGCTGAGCAACCCGCCCATCATCTGGCAGGCAGCAGATGCCCTTCGCAGTCAACCTTTCCCAGGATTTCTCTTGTCCTCCCAAAGATCTAATTGTATATGTCTTAGCAGTTGGTATTGAGCCGTATCTTCCCCATCTCCTTCGTTTCCTCCAGCTCTCCCCGACATGGGAGAGTATCTTGGCTATATTAAGAGTCTCTTGGTCTTTTCCTCCAAGGAGGGTCTCTCTTCTCTCCCTGCCCACTAAAACACAGCAGATCCTGACATTACTGAGACCCCTGACCCATCTGTCAAAGCTAAGCAATGGAATCATAGAAACATTATGGTTGGAAAAGACTTTTAAGATCATCAAGTCCAACCAAATGGGTTCAGATATCACCTGGAGGACAGACATTGCAAGAGCGCTGGAGATCAAGATGTTAAAAGGAGAAGACAATGATGCAGGAGAAACGCTGGGGCCAAGGATCAGCAAATACTCACATCCAGCTCAAAGGTCTGCAGCACTGTCCGGTACCCGCCGGAAATGGGAGTGAAGAGGCGAAGCACCTCCTTGATGACGCAGTCCAGGTAGAAGAGGCTGTTGATGTTGTCCAACCGCAGAGAGCCCTCACAGATGCACCCATTGTGGAGGATGCCCTTGCTCCGCAGCTCCTCCCGCAGCTTCTCCAGAACCCGCGGGTGCTTGAGGAGTTGCATGATCAGAGAGGTGCTAGCACTGGCAGTGGTCGCATAGGCAGCGAAGATGAGCTCCAGGGTACCATCCTGCAAGGCAAACAGTGGGGAGATGGGGTGAGGAACAGCAAGGGCAGGTTTTCCCTTCCTGACAAAGGATGGACATGTTCTTCTGAGGCTGACATGTGGATCCTGCTGCCATGTGGGACAGCAAAATCACTCAGGGCAGCCCCGGCTATGCAGCATTACAGTCCTGGGGGGTTCCCCAAGCATTTCCCTGCCTTTTCTGGAATAAGAAAGGAACATACTATGGTCTATGTGTCTTCTTCTCCCACAGCACTGGACACCTTACCTACACAGGAGCTGTTTTTCCTGTTTCAATGAGACAAACCATCTCACCCTGCTATGGTAAATGCCCCACCAGACTACAGGACAAGGTAGCCCAAGGTTTTGTGGGTCTGTCATGTCCTTTTAACCACCTTTCCCACCAGAACCACTCTGCCAGCCCTGTAGCTATGGTTCACATTGGATCCCACCATGATGCAGAAGGCGCAGGAGAGCCATGCAGTGGTGGTGACCCACCAGCTCCAGCCCAAGCAGGGTCTGGACCAGTGGCCAAAGCACAGAGGATTGCTTTCATGGGGCAGTGCTCGGGTCTGCTCCTCAGCTGCAGCTAGATGCTGAGCTGATGCTACAGAGATTTCAGACCTCCTTTCCCTAATAGACAGCTCTCCAGGCCCAGACCTGTATTGTTGCAAGATCCCTTCTTGCCTCCCTTCTCAAAAACTATCTTGTGTGAAATTCTGGACAACCAACTACAGGGAAAGACCCATAGAGCCTTGCTCAGAGTTAGCAACAGGCTTGCGGAGAGCTGCAGAAGCTGGAGAAAAGTCCCTGTGAACAGCTCTTAATAGTGCATGAAGGACAAGCTGTGTGGCCATCCCACTACAGATAACCACCTGCTGAGGGGTCATACGGCTTTTAGCAAGGGCTGAAAGTGATTGGCAAGTAAATATGGCCCATTGGATAATTGGCTTGGTGGCACCACGAGCCTGGACAAGGATTTACCTGCAGCTCCAGTAATGCACCCTGGTTACCCCATGTTGAGTAACTGTCTAGGATTGACCAGCAACTTCCTCCTCACGTCGGCTTGAGCTTCACTCTTAGAGAAATCCCTGCCCCAAGCAGAACGATCGCCTGGCAGCAATAACATGGCCATGGGGAGGAGGACCCAGACATCCAGTAACTCTTTCAGGTGGCTACAGAGCCTAAGACCTCCAAGCCAGAGGGAGGACAGGGAGCATCTTTACCTTCAGCTCCTGCATGGTGAGCTCCTTGCCATGCTCTTTGCCGCTTTCTATGAGGATATCCAGAGCGTCAGCGTAGTCCTTGCCCTGCGTGTTCTGCAGTTTCTCCTGGATGGCCTTCTCCAACCCCTTCTGCAGTGTCTCACGTGCTCGGATCCCCTGCGGAGCAAGAAGCCATCAGACCACTCAGGGCACGCTAGCACAATCATCCCCAGCCTGTCCTGGGCCAGCCGGTAATGCTCGGTGTCTAGGGACAAGGTCAGGAGGACACGTCCAAGGAGCATGACTGGGATGGCGGGAAGCTGGGAGTGACCCCCCCACAAGACTCCTTTGAGGTCAGAAGAACATAAGCCTCTCCCTGCAACGTGTCTAGCCCACCAACCTGCTCCCAGCTGCAATTACAGATGCTCAAAGAGAAGTATAAAAATGCTGTAGTCGTTGCCTGCCCAGGAGGAGAAGGCCCAAAGCAGGCAAGATTACAGGAGAGGCTAATCAGCACCTACGTGCAAACGACAGGTCTGACGTGGGAGCCCCCGTATTGCACCAATTCACATGCCTCCCCCTTGCCCGGGGATTCAAGAAAGCGCCTGGGAAAATTCTCTCTCAAAGGAAGCCAGTCAACTGGTCTGAAAGGAGTCTCTTCCCAAGAGCGTAATGGGCTTGCCAAGCGATTTTATCACCCAATCTCACTAAAGCCATTGCTCATTGAGCTAACGCGCTGCTGCAAAGGCTTTAAAAAGATGCGTCGGGGTCATTCGTGCGCTTAAAGAACAACAATGAGATGTGCAGTAGCAGTCACAAAAATCATTTGAAAAAAAAATCATTTTTCTACGAGCATTTTTGCCCCAAAACTCAAGACGGAAAAAATCCAACTTTGGACAATGTTCTTCTGTTATGTTTCCATTTTGTATTTCATGCGAAAACTAGAAGAGCTCTAGGAATGAGGAGATCCACCACTCTGTTCTGGCCATTTCAAAGGTGAGAAGGGTCAAATTAGCCAAAAAAGATTTAAAACTAAAAAAAATCACTTGTAACAAGTGGTGACAATTACCATTTAAATATGAGTAACCCCCATTGTGTTCTCCATCACATTGACTCATAGAGCACTTTTAAGCACTCTAAAAACCTACTGGAAGAAATTGTTCTGCATATCCTGACATGATTGCAGGCCTCACACGGCAAAAAAGCTTTGTCCCATCTGATCTCAACCCCTTCCCTCATTAGCAACCTCAGATTTATAGAGTCTCAGCCCTTCCTAGTCATCAACCGTTTTGACTCTACTAACAGATGGCTTTGTAGCCCCAAACTGACCCTATTCCAGAACTCAGCTGGTGAGGAGATATCCCAACAGCAACACAAAGATAAGATTCAGCTACCACCGCATTCGTCGCAGATCGGTGTTACCAGCTCTTCATGTCTTACCCTCCTGTAGCCGCTGAAGGGCAGATCCACAGGCAAGGAGAAGACATTCTCCACAAACTGCTGATAGACAGCAAAGAGCCGGCTGAGCTCCTCATCAGGGATGCAGAAACCCAGCAGGACTCGGATGGCCATGCGGAAGGTGAGCTTCTGGGCCTCGTGGTAGACGTTGATGGACTCTGGGTTGCTGCTCCAGGCGCGCAGGGTGTCTTTGATCACCAGCTGGATCTTGGGGAGATAGCTCTCCAGGGCCTCATGACTGAAGATTTTGGAGAACACCTGCAAAAGAGCACAGGGACAGGTTTCTACACAGTTCGTACATCCTCCTTTTTGTGTTCTCTAATAACCCGCTTCTGCCCATAAATAGGGATATCAAAGGCCTGAGCAGAGTGCTGCTCATTGTCAGGAATTGCTGATGTCTAAAATAATAACCCAAAAGGGCTGATAGAGAAACATCGTTCGAAGTAGTCTCCATAGGCCGATACCCATCACGGCCATCGTAAGTACCTGGCAAGAACAAGGTATCCATGAGCCACTCTCCACCAAGGAACCAGAGACAGGGAGAAAATGAGTCATCCTGCACCCAACAGAAGGGGCAAGAGCTGCCTTTCCCACAGCTCCATATCCCACAGCTGGATCCCTTGGTGTCTGGCAAGATAGGAGCTCAGAGTCAAGCTCACCCCACAACTCCAGTGCTACCAATAGGGCTTGCCTATGTGGATTCTCTAGTGTCTATTACTATGGTTGTGTTCACACAGGCAAGCTTTTACTTTCTCAATGGGGAGCACTAACAATTTTTGTCATCCCCCTCCTTTAAAAGCTATTAAAATAATCATTTTGAGGCCCTTAGGGCCCCCATGACATCTGCCTGAGCTTAGGCAGAAGCTTAGGCAGGAGTTCAAGTGTTCCTGGGGGGGGGGGGAAAAAAAAAAAAAAAAAACAGAGGCTGAGCTCACACATGGTTCATTTCCTCGGGACACCAGGCTCAAGCCCCGTGTCAGCAGACAGCAATATTTTAGGCTCTGTGAGTAAACACCGCGCCGAGGAGCGCAGCAATGCCAGGAATGTCCGCGCTCGCCCAGGACAAGAGCACAGCCTGGGCTTTTCAGGCCGTGTCCCCCTTCCTGTCCTCGCCGCGTCCCTCCACCAGCTTCTTGTCCCCAGGCGCTCCGATGGGGAGCCGGGGGAAGGCCGGGAAAAGTGCTGTTTGTTTATTCAGCATTAACCTCCATGCAGCTGGGGGCACGCGCACGCGCACCGTGCGCTCCAGCTCTCCAGGAAAATCCCATCAAAGAGGGCTCCGACGGAGGCACGCAAGGCTGCAAAGGACGCGCAGAGCCCGCATGCTCCAACCATGAAGAAAAGCAAGAAAGCAAAAATTCCTGCTCTCTACAAAAGAGTCTAAACTTCACAAAGATGCAAATGGGAGATTTTCCTTTCCCCACTCCGGGTCAGCACTCGCTTTCCTGGCATTTTCCTGGACGCAGGCTGGCATTGCTCACGCTTGCCGCTCGCTACAGCGTTTTCTGGTGAAATAACAGCCCTGGGCCCTTTGAGCCCAATGCAGGGCTCAGCAAGAACCCAAATTCCCCGCATGGCCAGTGCCAGGGAGGATGAATGAACAAGCAGGAAAAATGAGTGAATGGGCAGGAAAAATGAATGGGCACCAAGAGTGCAGAAGAAAGGGGCCCATTCCACCCGCTTTCTGCTGCTGCTGTCCCATGATTTTTAAGCCACGACCAAGCCGCCGTCCCATGCATTAAAGGGAGTGGGAAAGAAGAAGGAAAAGCTCAAATTAAAGTACTAAACTGAGCAAAAGGTGGCACCAGGAAGGACAGAAGGAGCGTGGGGGCTGCTTGCAGGAGCCAGGAAAGGGGCTGTTTTCCCTGTGGCCACACAACTCTGAGCTACTCCATGGACAGCAAAGGGACAGAGTGATAAAATCTCCACCCTCCTGGCACCAGCGCTCCCAGACTCCCATCCAGGCCAGATTCCAGAAGGCAGGAACAGGTCCCTGATGCCAACAAAAAAAGCAGGGAGCATTCCGCTTTTTGGGGGATGGAGTGGCAGGTTTGGCTTCTTTTTTCTTTTTTTTTTTTTCGCCTTCTTTTTTTGCTCTTTTTCCCCCAGCAAGGCTCACAGCTCCCCCGAGCGCCACCCCGGCTCGCCGCCCGCGCGCTGCGCGCCGCCTAATCCCAGATGTCAGCGGGCCCTTCCCTCGCCAGACACAAGTCTGGATCCCCTTCCAGTCACCTCCAGTTCAACCCTGCATCTTTCCAGTTGATTAAAAGGGAGGCAAAGGCAGCCAACTTTCCCTCGCGATCCTGCCGCCGCTTCCTAGCCTAAAATCCCTGCGCCCTCTAGTGAAATCAAGTCGAATGTCCTGACCGCTTCCCGGCTCCCAAGCAGGAAGACCGGACAAAGTGGAGATGATCGGAGTGAAACGGGGCTCTGGAGCCTGCAGAAAGCTCCGCAATCCACTGGGAGAGAAGGTCACCCGAGCCCTCGCTGATCCATCTCTGCTTGTCGTAGGATATTTCAAGATTTATGGGCTTTCCTGGTGTCTCAGCTTTCTAGATGCTTCAAAGAGGTCCAGATTCACGTGACCAGGACAGTCCCTGGTCCTGCTTGCACCTCCAGCCCTGTCCATAACTGTTCTGCAAAGTGATGCCCAAAGCCTCCTTTTGGGATGAGACAGTGGCAGCCTCATCCAATGCATGGCAGCCAGGGAGAGCTCTGCGCTGCTTCCCCTTTCCCGCTTGGACTGCTGGCCCTAAAAATGAAGGAGCTCTTGTCACACTAACATAAAATCACAGAGCTCTTGAGGTCAGAAGGGAGCTCTGGAGATCACACAGTCCAAGCCCCTGCTCAAGCAGGGTCACCTAGATCTCCTAGCCCAAGTGGAAAACACTTCCATAAACCACTTCAGCACCAACACCTGGCATGGTCGGAGCTACATGTTGAAGAAGAGTCCGAAGCGGCCCCTCAGCCTTGCAGAAACTCTATGTGTTCTGGGTAGTATTTGCCGCAAACCTGCCCTGTTGCCCTCTTATAGCAGGTGTCTGGCTTTCCCGACATGATCGGACACTGCCAGACCTGGATCCCATTGGGACGCTCCCATGGGCTCATAAACCTTGGTCTTTGCAAAGTCCCACAGGCTGGATATTCATCCATCACGGAAGGAATCTAGGGCCATTTAAAAGGAAAAGTCAAGAGTTTTCTCTCTAAAATGAGCAGTTTTGTGTTTGCACGTCAAAGCACAGCCCTGCTGCAGGAAGGGCCAGGTGAGGAGCATGGTGCCTCCAGGAGAGCAGGACACAGCCGCCTCTCCCAAGGAGAAGCACAAGAGCCCGGCGGGCACCACGATCCATCTGCGCAAGGAGTCCGGTTACGGTATCCCCAGTTACAAATTCCAAGCAGAGGCTATTGCTCCAAACTAGACCCAGCTGGGAAAGGAGGGAAAAAAAAAAAAAAAGCAGAGTGAAACAGTCTCTTTTGCAAGAAGGCGGCTTCACTGAAACTTGAACGATTCAGAAAAAAAAAAAGGGGGGGGAGCTAGAAAAAAATGGAAAGGTGGTTTCAACATGCTTGGGCCAAGTTATGGTAGTTATGGTTATTTTATGCATTTCAGTGTTGCTTGCACCCTTTTTTTCTTTTTCTGCACCATCTCTGAATACACTGGTTTGCACGCAAGAGAAAGGGGCACCCACAATGAGCATCTGACCCTCCAGACCTTAAAAAACAGACCATGCCATAGAGGTGATGTGCCTTCATCCCGCACATCCCCAGGGATGCAGCATCCTGCTCCCCTGGACCAGGACAGTTAAGTCAGGAAACAGAGAGACCAGAAACCCAAGCCAGAACCCTTGAGTTCTTTGCACATTTTTCCCACCCTCCCGGACCCTCTCTGCAGCAGCAGCAATCAAAGCCTCTCTGCTAAGCTGAGCTCTTACCCTGACCTTAACCTCATATGTCTTTGAGACACCAACTACAATGCCCAGCGTGGGCGGGAGAGGAGGCAATGACCCTGACATCCATCCCTGCCTTGCATCTCCAAGGCCAAAACATTGGCACAGGCAAGAGTTGGGGGAACCCGGCCATGCAGACAGAGCCGAGTCCACCTTCAGTTTTGTCACCTCTCCTCAAGGAGGAAATCAAGAAGAAGAAGGAACGGGGAGCAAAGGCACCAGCATCTGCAGTCCCAGCCCTTTGTAGTGTCTCAGCTTTCCTTGTGTCTCCCCAAGCGTGTTGCTCCAGTTAAGGGAGGGAACATCATGTTAAAGATGAGGATAGCAAAGAAACAGGAGCTGCATCCAGCCAGGAAGGCTGATGTGAAAGGTGGGATCAGCTGGCTGGAGAAACCTACCCAGCCAAGTGGATACTGCCTTTCAGGAGGGCAGACTAAAAGAGGAGAAACATAGGAGAAAAGTCCCCTTTCTGCTGGCTCCTGCATCCAAAGCAGATCATCATGATCCTGATACAGATCTCCCAGACCCCAGACGAGTTGTTATGAACCAAAACTAGGCAGATTGCTCAAACTACCTGGAAGGGTAGAGTATGATATGGTGGAAAATAGAGCTAGATAAAGAGCACAGGATGGATCCTCAGGCTGGAAAGCTCTCCTGGCCCTGTGGGACTCATTCTTGGTGCCCCCCATCACCACTGTGGGCCACAGCTGCTATCCACCAGAGCCACTGGTCGCATGGTAAGTGATAGCAGTGCCACCAAGCAAAGAGCTTTACAGCTCAAGCACGGGTCTTGCCTTCTGCATGCCCAGAGGGCATCCAGTGCCTCTGGGTCTAGAATACGTGGATGGGCCAACGTTCACCATGTTCAGCACAGGCCCTGGCATGCCACCCAGAGTCATTGCTCCTGCTTCTCAAAGCACACTTGGTGCTTGCAGGGCATTTGGGGGTGAAAAGCACTATGAAAATACAAGAAAATCCCTATCTAACCTTGCCTTTTTTTTTTTAATCAGATGAAATTACTCTGGATTTACACCAGTGTAGATGATGGCAGCATTGGTCTAAAGTCAATGAGCCAACCTGGACACCGAATTCCTTGCTGAGATTGTGATGCTGAGGCTTCATAATGCAATGGGGATGCCTGGGAATGGGGCCGCTTTAGCGCAAAAGGGCCCTTCCCGCCATCGGTTTCTTCTTCCTCCTCCTCCTTCCTCCTCCTCCCCTCTCCCCCAGCCCTGCCCACAGCAGCTGGTTTATATTTGGCTGCAAATTTATGGCCCCTTTTGTGTTCTTAATCCTCTTGCAAACTATATT